ATTACTGTTGTTCAAATTTCATTTCACTCGGCAAGTATATTCATGTACCCCAAGGGGAAAATATCATACTTCTAAATATTGTTTATTTCGAAAAACTGTACTCCTGAAGGGACTACTTTGTTTGCTCTCAGACCTCATTTGCATATGGGTTGTGGAAATACCGATTTTGATTTCATGGACGAATCAAAATAAACTGCATTATTACATATGTAATACCCATGCAATAATGTTTTCGGTATTTTCACGGTCGATATGCAAATGAACATGGTATTTTTATTGGCTACCGAACTATTTTTATTTTGTAAACACATTTTCGTCTGCTATTTTTATCCAGTTCAAATCGTTCAACAGCATTTTTGGCATGTCAGGTGTACATCACATGGAATACTACGATTGGGAGAACTTAATGTATATTGATCACCTGGAAACTGAGTTTTATAAACCTTGAAGGGCTCTCAGAAGATCCACCCGCAGTAAAATCAGCGATTACTATGCAGCCGCAACCATCAGCATCGAGATACCAGGTTTCTGCTGGCGACGTTGCGGCGTTACTCAGTTCCAAATAAAAATTACCAACGCCAAAAGAGCAACATTTTAACCGGTAATCAAGACTCAGTCAATCCACGACCAGCAAGCAACATCACACACGAAGTTGTAGCGTGCAGCTCAGTGACAACCGCTGTCGACGAAAGTCATCCCGTCAGTGGAGTACCGCAGTTGCACGGCATGTTTGCGGAACTTTTAACTTCAACATAAACTGTGTATCATAGTCGTCCAGTTCAAGTTCTGGTTCTGTCGTGTTCCCAACTAAACGTCAACGAGTTATTTATTCGGACAGTGACTCAGATTAGACGTCTGATTATTTTAATTTCATACAAACAGTGACACGCGTTCTACACTGACACGCGCTGCTAGGGCGTAACAGTTATATTGGAACATATTAATGGGCAATGGGGTTCCCCGACGTAAATTCCATCCTGGTTTGCACGTTCTTTCTTTAATACGAAATAATCAAGTATGGAACATATGTAATAATAACAGAACCGAGTGATGCGGTGTATCCTGCGGCCGTACTTTCACGAGCGAAGCGAGTGAAAGTACAGCAGAATACACCGCATCTCGAGTGAAAATAACTTTCATACGCAACGAAAGCCACGGGGAGGGTGTGGGGTTCTGTCATATTATTTAACAGACTTATTAAAGTGGTTCTGATATACAGAAACTATCTTGACAAAGGCTAAGTTCTATAGAATATTTAAAGACCTCTACAGTTGTGAACCACATGTTGGTACGGGTAAGCCTCTTTTTAGACAACATTCTGTCAAAGCAATGTTTTGTACAGGTCTATTGCCACTGGCAAGAGATGATTTTCTGTTCAACTGCGAGATGCGTAAAAGACACGTGCTGAACATCTGCCGCAAAAAAATCGAACTATTTGATTTTGAAATAATTTTTTTGATTTCGTAGCTCACATCGAAAGGGCGATTATTGCATTTGAATACCCTTGCTTCATTGAAATTGACCATTAAATGTGTACAGCACATTAAGCATGGAAATATCCCCCAAAATACTTTCGCATATGTTGAATCTCACGCAAAGGTTGGTGCCACTTTGACCTTTGTGTGTCCTGGTTTTTACGTTCGATTTCACGCATAATTAAGGATCTCACAGAGAACCGTCTATTGAAACAGGTAGATTTATGGGACAGGAATGTTAGAAAGGAAATGTAACTTCTGCCACAGAGGATTATTTCACTGGCCCATGCTTATAAATTCTAATTTCTCTGACCTGGTATATTGAGAAACTATGTGTATGCATTAGTAGAATTGTATTTAAGCGTTAACAATGCATAGCACATCACTGTACAGTGGTGGTGAGATATTGTATCTTCACTTGTGCAATTTTTCTTGCATAAAATACAAATATTTTTTCTTAAAGTGACCTGAGTACGTTACTATGATAAACTACTACTATTCCCCCGACTTCCTCTGAATACAAGCTAATGCGTTGCCTACACACAGTCCTCTTCCTCTTGGTTCTAAGTTACAGTTCAGTTTGAGCTGGTATTGCCTTTTCATACAAATTTAATATTAGTGAGTATTATTTTCTTCAATAATCAAAATTTCAAAATACGGTCAAATACAATGTACCGGTATTTCTTTATTTATTACAGATAAAAATATGTTCTGGTTACATTTCTATTCAATAATATTGAAAGATGTGCCCCTCATCATATGGTCTAATTGTTATCAACATTCTAGGAATTTTACCCATAGTTATGATATTTCTTTAAATATCATTTGATAGTATACATGTGATTTGTAATTCTTACACAGAAGTGAAATCATCAAAGGTAGCGGTTCTTTACCATATACTGGTAACGCTAGAATGAAAATGTACTAATTTATGTCAGCTCAAATTAATTCAACTCAGCTACTGTAATCTTTATAAACATTTTAAATAAACAAAAACAAATCATTATTTTGTTCATATCAGTTTTGCATAAAATTAGGTTGGCGCAAGTTATACAGCTCAGCATATATATAAGGCAGAATTTTAAAAGTTGAAAAATCGTGTCAACAAGCAAGCTGCTCTCTGATTGGTCAGACTGTTAAGTGTTAAGGTCAGGTAGCCAATTAGCACAATGGATTATGTGGATTCCTGAGATAATTGCAACAAAGCGTTTACATGATTCAAACTGATTTGAGTAAAAACAAAATAACACACAAGATGCTACATAACGCTATAAATTCATATGTACACTTTAACACAAGGCTGTCAAAGATCACAGCTTATTTGACAACATAAACAATCACCATATTTTGAATAACACAACAAAATAAATTTGAGACAACTCAACAAAAGATAACTTAAAATCTATAAATGAAATACATGGAATGTTGACTCGGGTTCTTGACTAGTGTAAAATACTCTTGGGAAAGATAAAAGGAATAAATCAAAACTAAATGCCTTGGCATATCAACACACATCTTTGTTAGTATTATGCTACAATAACCAAGCTACTGAGAATAGTCAGAGTGACTACTATCACCTAACGACCATGTCACGAACTTTTGTCAAATCATGTACAAGTCTGCGAATGTTTCTTTTTATATGTGGCAGCTCTTCGGCAATATCATCCCCAGATGCTTGACAAAAAAATGTTGATTCCAATGCTAGAAAAGAAAGAACGAAAGAAAGAAACCATTATTTTTATTAAAAGGTGGAAAGTGTTTCAAGCAAACCTTACCGGTACTTTTACAATAGCAATGACATAGTACTACTAAGAAATGTTTGCCTAATTGTAATTCAGCTTACAGTCCAGTAGTTTTCATTCTCACCACAGAAAATGTACTTCTCTATAATAGACTCTTTTCTATAATGTGAAGAGAACAAAACTGAAGAGCAAGGAGTACTGGTCTTGCATTGATTCTGGTATACATCCACTCACAATATTGTATCAAATCTTTAAAACATCTGAGGCTGGTACAATTAAGTGTTAAGAATGTGTACAAAAATCTGACTGTTTGACACCAACATCTGACCCACATCACCCCTAAGCCACCCGGCCCCGCATCACCCCTATGTCACCCGGCCCGCATCACCCCTATGTCACCCGGCCCGCATCACCCCTATGCTACCCGGCCCGCATCACCCCTATGCCACCCGGCCCGCATCACCCCTATGCCACCCGGCCCGCATCACCCCTATGCCACCCGGCCCGCATCACCCCTATGCCACCCGGCCCGCATCACCCCTATGCCACCCGGCCCGCATCACCCCTATGCCACCCGGCCCGCATCACCCCTATGCCACCCGGCCCGCATCACCCCTATGCCACCCGACCCGCATCACCCCTATGCCACCCGACGCGCATCACCCCTATGCCACCCGACGCGCATCACCCCTATGCCACCCGACGCGCATCACCCCTATGCCACCCGACGCGCATCACCCCTATGCCACCCGACGCGCATCACCCCTATGCCACCCGACGTGCATCACCCCTATGCCACCCGACGCGCATCACCCCTATGCCACCCGACGCGCATCACCCCTATGCCACCCGACGTGCATCACCCCTATGCCACCCGACCCGCATCACCCCTATGCCACCCGACCCGCATCACCCCTATGCCACCCGACCCGCATCACCCCTATGCCACCCGACCCGCATCACCCCTATGGCACCCGACCCGCATCACCCCTATGCCACCCGACCCGCATCACCCCTATGCCACCCGACCCGCATCACCCCTATGCCACCCGACCCGCATCACCCCTATGCCACCCGACCTGCATCACCCCTATGCCACCCGACCCGCATCACCCCTATGCCACCCGACCCGCATCACCCCTATGCCACCCGACCCGCATCACCCCTATTTCAACGACCCGCATCACCCCTATGTCACCCGACCCACATCACCCCTATGCTACCTATAAGAGTTTAACTTACCAGTAATTTCTTGTTCAATTAAATCCATTCTATTGTCCAACTGATCATGTAATTGAGATATATGCTGCAGTAGATTCCATTCACAGACCAGTGGTGGTAGTGGTTCAACTTCATCCATCACATCAATATCTGATATCTCTGATCTCAGCGATTCAGTTCTCTTTCTACTCCCCTAAAATAAATGTTTATTCACGGCAAATTAAACATATGTTGCAATCAGTGGAGAGTGTAGTATTTAACTATGAAAGGTCAATAGTATACCAATATCAATACCCTCAAAAGGCCATCCAAACCTGAGGAACTTTTTATAAAACTTTTCTGGTGGGATGGCTGCTTTCGATGCCAAAGTCACTGTTAATTGAAATACTAATTTACCAGGAACAGCTTTTTAACTCTTCTGTATTTTTATTTGGCTTGGCCAATTTCAGTCATGCCTGATAGGCATGTCACACTTTCACTCTAGTTGGGTGGTAAAAACTAGCCATGGCAACAACTCAAAAACTGATTTTTGAATACTTTCATGCAGATTCACGGTTAGTAACCATGGCCAAATGTATTTGGCCAAGTTGCGTACTGACGAGAGATATCGCCGCAGACACTGTTACACTGTATCAACGTAAGTAACAGTGACTGTAAATGCTGTGCGCAATCAAAATATATACAGAAAGTGGTAAGAAATATAAAGTTTGTCATCTTATAAAAATCTAGATTAAAGGGTCCCCATGAATATAATAACAAGCCATGCATGGCACAGTCGCCATTAGTTATCGAATTTAAGATACCGTACTTCCGAGTATAAGCCCCTCCGAGTATAAGCCCACTTAACGAGTTGAGGGCATCCCCGAGTATAGGCCCGGGGTGTTTTTACCGGGCGTCGACAACATTTATTAAAATATGCATGTAAAAAGTGTATTTCATTGCATAAAAATCATGATTGGTATGGTAGTTTGGTTCCAGCTTTTACGAGAAAACTCGCAAAAGAGTGTACGGCGGGCAAACGTACATAGTTCACACGTTTTCTATTCTGTTATTTAGACCAGACTTTTATTATCCCTTGTTTCGCGACATTGCCAACCAAGAAGATCTTAAGGAGTGGGAAGATCGGCCTATTGTGTGCATTGATGGGCTGCAGTCGCCTCAATCTGACAAAACAGTACTTGCTACTAGCGCACCGATCACGGCCTGAAATACATTGATGTTGTTTACAGGACTAAGTATTATGTCAACGTGCATAACCCTGTTGAACAGGAGCCAACCGCCCTGGGTGTTCTTATGAAGGCAGCGAGAAGTTACTCGCATTTGCCGCAGAAGAGGCGAGTTATAATTATATTCACGCGAATTGACCTCAAATAGCGGCTGTAGTCCTGCGGTATGTTGCTAACAACAACCTACTTTCATTATTCACAAACTTGAAGCCGCGAAGTTGTTGCCTGCGCATATGTGGGTTAGAACTTTTTATTGTTTTTTTATTGAGTTGGTGAAAACACTCTAAACAAGCTTGTGTATGTGTCTTACTAACTGCCTGGATCAGACTTTGAGTATGCATATATATTATACTTCAAACTACTAGTATTTAAATTTAACATGTCATTTAAAATGACACAGTCCCCGTTAAAATTTTGAAAGTTCTCTTTGTGCTCGTCATATTAAAGTAGATGGGTTGTAGCGAGCGTGTTCTTGAAACTTGAGTTCCAAGTGGCGTATACAACAGATTGTTTATTTACATCAAAACACGTGTTCCGTGTAGTCGTAAATATGGCCAAAAATAAAAACAGCCGTTATTCTTTGATCTGATTTTTAAACACACTGATATGTATGATGTATGTGCCAAATACGAATGAAAATGGTACATAAATTGTGGAAATATAGTAGTAAGGCCAAAAAGTCAGATGGCTGTCCTTGACCAGATTTTGAAACAAATTGTCATGGACATGCATCCTAACATGTATAAAGTACATGTATGTGCCAAATTTGAATGAAAACTGACAGAGCACGTCCAAGATACCGCATAAAAAACAAAAACAAGATGCCCGCCAGTCAACCATCTTTGATCCAATTGCGAAATAAATCGTCATGGACATGTATCCTAACATGTATAATCTATGTACCAAGTTTGAATGACAACTGACAAAGCATGTTCAAAATACAACATTTTCAAAAAACAAGATGGCTTCCAGTCGGCCATTTTGAATCAAATTGCTAAACCACTGCATGTGCATATGTCCAACATAAGGTACTAGGCACATGCAAAGAATGAACGGAATCGGTCCAAGGGATTCTGAGATATGCACAGATGCACGGACGGAGACCGAATTATAAGTCCCCGTTTTCGGACTTTGTCCGAACAGGGGCTAAAAATTAGAGAATTTAAAGATATCATCACGAAATGAACTAATCTGAGAGAGGTCCACATGTAGTACGGTACATGTATATGTAATATCAAAGCAATCAGACTTGTGGTTTTTAACAAGTTGTTGAAAATATCACTTTTTACCAAAAATTGCCAAAATATAGAAATAGAGATTTTGACATGAAAGGAACAAATTTGATAAATAACCACCCAAGGTACATGCATATTAAATTTGAAAATATTCTGACTTGCAGTTTCGAAGAAGATGAAATTGTATACCGTATTTGTCTTCAATTAGGCGCCACTTTGTTACACTTTCATGTCATGGTGGCGCTTTATTTGTGGTTAAATTTGAGCAACTTTGTTTCAAATGGCGCTTATTTCAAGCACTTCAAGTTCTAGTACCGGTAACTGTGTTACAAGCCATTGTTTTTGCTCCATTCTGGTGATAGATTATTGACAATATTTTACATTACAGTCTGACGCTTAGTCACTGTAGCCTTTATTTTAAATACTGAGTAAATGACCCATTTTCAGACAGTTTAGAAAGTTATACAAAAATTATCATTCTTTAGAAAACATTCGCAGTTTGTCGTACAATCAACAGAAAAATAAAACACAAATTCAACGCTTAGTAGTCAATGATCACGGTAGCAAAATCCGGTCATGCTGCATTCCACGGTTACTATTATTACTCAGTAGTAGTTATAATAACGTACAAAAAGTAAAATGCAAGTAAAATTCAACTTAATTTCATCGTAAGCGAATGATTCTGGTCGCATGTAAACGCTCGGCGCGATTCGATGTCTGCCATGCTTCCTGTCTTGACCTGGAACGCGTTTTTTGACCAGATAGGTCGAGTCGTTAATTAACCAATCAAAATGCTGGATGATGCCAACGTGATCAAATTACCATAGCTCATTTAAATAATGTATGAACGCAATGCGGAAGTGATTTGCCGATGTTTGCGATATTTTGGCTTTGATTTTGGTGGGAAAAAC